AGTCGCGGCGCCGCGGCCCGTCGCGGCGCCCGTCGCCGAGCCGCCGCCGCCGCGGCCGCCGGGCCCGCCGCCGCCGCGGCCGTCGCCCGCGGCGGCCGCGGCGCCGCCGCCGCGGCCGCCCGGCCCGCCGCCGCCGCGGCCCGCGGCGCCGCCGCTCGCCGTGCCCCCGCGGCCGCCGGGCCCGCCGCCGCCGCGGCCCGCGGCGCCGCCGGTCGCCGTCGTGCCGCCGCCGCCGAGGCCCGCGGCCGCGCCGGCCGCGGCCGCGCCGGCCGCGCCGCGGGCTCGGTCGCCGCCGCCGGGCAAGCGGAGCAGCCCGTCCAAGGCCGAGGCGGAGACGGCGGCCCTGCTCCAGCGGCGCCGCGCGCTCCTCGTCTGGGCGGGCGACGACGGCGCGGCGCGCGCGGCCGACGCGGCCGCGCGCGTCGGCGAGCTGCGCGCCGCGCTGAACCGGCGCGCCGGCGGCGGCGACGTCGGCGCGGCCGGGGACCTCCAGGGCCGGCTCGGGGCGATCCGGGCCGCCGCGGCCGCGCGCGGCGGCGCGGCCGCGGCGGCCGCCGCGCCCGCGGACGCGGAGGCGTCCTGGGCGAGCCGGGGTCTGAGGATCGGCGGCGCCTTCTACTCGCTCAACGACCTCCACGGCAAGGCCGCCGCCGTGGGCCTGCGCTGCGACGAGCTCGCGGACGCGCGGCGCGCCGCGGAGCGCGCGACGGCCGCCGCGCGCGCGACGCTCGCGCTCGTCGGCGACGAGTTTGGCAAGCTCCGCGAGGGCGTGCGCCTCAACACGCGCGTCCTCGGCGAGGAGCTCAAGCGGCGGCGGCGCCAGGTCGAGGCCCTGGGCCGCGACGTCGCCGCGCTCCGCGGCGGGTCCGCGGCGCCCGCGGGGGACCCGGCGTGGAAGGCGACCTTGGCGAGCCGCCTCGAGAAGCAGCAGGAGGCCTACTGGGCGCGGCTCCTGAGCGACGCGCGGCGCGAGGCCGACGCCGCGGTGCTCGCCAGGGTCGAGGCGCGCCGCGCGGACGCGCAGGCGCGCGTCGACGCGCTCGTCGGCTCCACGGAGCGCGCGTGGGCCGAGAAGCTCGGCGCGCTCGAGGCCGAGGCCGCGGGCCTCGAGGACCGCGAGCGGGCGGCCCTCGACCGCGCGAGCGAGGCGACGGACCGCCTCCTGCGGCTCCAGGACGACCGGAGCGAGCGCGAGGCGCGCGACGCGGTCCGCGAGTCCGCGGAGGCCGCGCTCGCCGTCGAGAACGACGCGGAGATGGACGGCGCGCGGCGCGCGTACCGCCAGGCCTGGGCCGCCGCGGGCGCCGACGCGCGGGGCGCGCGCGCGTTCCTCGAGCAGCTCCGCGGCGACCGGCCGCACGACGCGGCCGCGCTGCGGACCTTCGAGGCCGCGGCCGCGCGGCTCCGCGTGCAGGCGCGCGCCAAGAGCCTCGTCCAGGCGCTCTACGCCCTCGAGCGCAAGCGCCGCGTCGTCGAGGACGCCCTGCGCGCGCCCGCGGCGCTCGGGCGGCCGCCGTACCTCGCGCCGCTCGCGGACGCGGGCGTGGCGCTCGACGGCGACGTCGCCGCGACCTTCGCGGCCGCGCTCGCGTCGCGCGACGGCGACCGCATGGCCGGCGCCGCGCGGGCCGTGCTCGACCGGCTCGGCGACCTCGCGCGCGACTTCGGCGACCACGAGGCGCTCACGGTGCGGGCTATTACGGCGGCGGCCGACGCCTACGAGCGCAACTACCGCGAGCCCTTGGTCGTCGACGCCGTCAACCTCGCCACGCTCCGCGCGCCCCAGAGCCAGCCCATCCACGCGCCCCGCGGCGCGCGCCGCGTGACCATCGCCGAGTGAGGTCGTAGGGCGCCAGGAACCATTATAGCCAAAAGAAAAAAGCGGCGCCCCTCCCATGCTTCAGGCCCAGCCGAACTTGGCGGCGTGCGTCCGCTTCTCCTCGAGGAGCGCGGGGTCGTCCGCGCCGAACTGCTCGGCCCGGAGCCGCGCCTCCTCCTCGTCGAGGTCGAGCGTCGCCTCGAGCTGCTCGTCGCGGTAGGGCCGGTCGACGTCCGGCGCGACGGCCACGTCCATGGCCTCGAGGTCCGCCAAAATCTCGTCGACGAGCTCGTCGTCGCCGGCCGCGCGCGCGTAGTCGAGCTCGCGCCGCGCGCGGACGTAGGCCTTCTCGCGCTCGTCCATGTCGTCGTAGGCGACGGCGCCCCGCTCCGGCGCCTCGTCGCCCATCTGCCGGTAGGCGGCCTCGACGGTGATCTCGTTGCCGCCGACCATGAGGCGCTGCCACGCCTGCGTCTTCTCGAGCTTCGCGAGGACGACGACGAGCTCCGTGTCGTCGAGGGCCCACGTGCTCTCCTTGAGGTTGATGGCCCGGTTGAGCACGCCGTCCACGAGGCTGCCGAGGCCCTTGACGTAGACGCGCAGCGCGTCGCGCTGGAGCGTCACGGACACGTCGAACTTCGTCGTGCCCTCGGGGACGCGCGCGGACACGGTGACGTCGTACTCGCTCTGGGTCCACTCGTAGCGCTCCTCGTCCGTGCGCGTCGTGCGCCGGTGGCCGTAGGGGTCGCCCTCGAAGGCGCAGGGCCAGGCCTCGGCGCCCGCGTCCGCGGCCAGGTCCTTGACGAGCTCGAAGCGGAGCACGTCGCCGCTGTCCTCGAGGAACCAGACCGTGTCGTCGTGGGCGTGCTGGACGCCCCGCGCCCAGGTGCGCTTGATGACCGTGCCGCCGAGGTGCGTCACGTGGAGCGTCCGCGCGCCGAGCGCGACCGTGAGCTCGTTCGATTTCACGGGCCGCGACAGCTCGACGTAGAGGACGACGAGCACCTCGTCGTCGGTCCAGGAGTAGCCATCCAGCACCGCGGGCTTCGTCGACGCCGCGGGCGTCGCCGTGCGCGACGGCCGCGACACGACGAAGCCGTCGTCGTCGAGCACGGGCGGCGCCGCGTCCTCGTCGAGGCGCCGGAGCCGCGCGGCCTCGGCCTCCTTCTTGAAGTGCGTCTCGGCCTCCTTGCGCTTCTTCTCCTCGCGGTCCCGCGACTCCTGCTCCTTGTGCTCGCTCCACTTCTTCTGCATCATGTCGTTCATGTCGTCGATGGACACCCACTCGCGGTCGTCGCGGTAGTCCTCGTCGTCCGCCTCGGCGGGCTCGTCGGCCGGCGCGTCCGCGGGGCGGCCCGCGGCGTCCGTCGCGCCGAGCAACGTCTTCACGGCGCCCATGTAGCGCCGCCAGACGTCGGCGTTGCCGACGCCGTGCCGCGCGACGGCCTCGTGGAGCGCCTTGAGCGTCGCGTGCGGCGGCGCCGCGCGCGGCTCCAAACCGTCCGCGTCGAGGTCCTCGAGGTCGTGGCCCGCGACGCGGATCTCGTTCCACGCGGCGATGAGCGAGCGGAGCGCCTTCTTCTGGCCCTTCTCCAGGGCGCCGGGGTGGTCCTTGGCCCACGCGACGTACGCGCGGAGCGCCGCCTTGGCGCCGCGGCCGACGCGCCTGTGCTCGACCTCGGCCTGGACGCGCTTCGGCGGCTTCGCGCCGCCCATGAGGTTCGCCAGCGCCTCGACGCGCGCCTTGCGCCCGGACTCCATGCTGTCCCAGTGCGCCTGCTTCTTCGCCTTGCGCTGGAACCACTCGAGCTGCTTCTGCTGCTCCGCGCGGTACTGGGCGCTCTGCTCGCTCTCCTCGCCGCTGTGCATGGGGTGGCTCGCGATGAGCTGGTTCCCGGGGCGCGACATGGCCGAGCGATGTCCCGCGGCGCGGTGGAAAAGGTAGAGGACTTCGACGCACAGCCACAGCCTCGCTTTTGTCCACAAGCGAGAGAGACAAAGGGAAAGGTGCCGCCGAGCGATGTCCCGCGGCGCGGTGGAAAAGGTAGAGGACTTCGACGCACAGCCACAGCCTCGCTTTTGTCCACAAGCGAGAGACACAAAGGGAAGCTGCCGCGCCGCGGGTATTGCATGCACCATTGACAGATATCCCCAATCAGCGCGAGCTCGAACGCGGCCTGCCTCGTCTGCGGAGCCGCCCGGCGGTGCGGGTCGAGGTCCTCCGGGTCGCCGCCCGGGGCGATGGACGCGCTGCACCGGTCGGCGACGACGGGCGACATCGGCATGCGGCGGCGCGAGTCGACCGGGGGCGCCTGGAGCGCGCCCTTTATGAAGTCGCTGGCGGGCCTGGGCGCCGCGGGGCTCAAGCTGGCGACGTCGGCGCCCCTGGGCATCGTGAGCGACAAGGCCATGTACGTCGAGGAGGCGGAGATCGCCGTGGAGAAGAAGCGGCGGCGCGGCAAGGGCCTCGCGTCCGCGACGTCCGCGGCGCTGACGCCGCCGATCACGCGGCGCCACAGCTTCGACGTCGGCGAGCTCGAGAACCGGCTGACGCGGCCGAAGCTCACCATGTTCCACGAGCTGCGGGCCTACTTCGACCCGGAGTACCGCCTCCACATGGTCAAGCGCGACATCCTCAAGTTCTGCCGCGAGCTCGACCTCGGCGTCGAGGACATGTTCAACATGGTCGACGAGGACGGCTCCGGCATCCTGGACCGCGAGGAGATGACGGCCATGATCAAGAAGCTCGGCATCCTCGTCAAGGAGGTGGAGATCGACACGCTCATGGAGAAGCTCGACGCGGACGGCTCGGGCGGCATCGAGGTCGACGAGTTCGACCGCTGGCTCTTCAACACGTCCGACGTCTGGCTCGAGCGGCGGCGGCGCGCGCCCGACGACGAGTTCAGCGACAAGCGGCTCCTGGAGCGCGAGCTGCTGCGCTTCGACCCGGGCGTGCAGACCATGCTCCAGCGCATGTGGGACCTCGTGGACATGGACGACTCGGGCGCCGTCGACCGCGAGGAGTACGTGCGGCTCAACATCAACCTGCAGCAGGCCGTCATGGACGACTTCGACCCGAGCGAGGGGCGCAAGATCGCGCTGCGCGAGTGGGAGTTCGACAGCCAGGGCTGCGAGACCATGGACAAGCGCCTCTTCTTCTGGTCCTTCTTCCAGCTCGCGGACGCGTGGCGCGACGGCCCGGACATCACGGGCGAGGCCTACGTGGGCTTCATCGACTTCCTGACGGACCGGTGCACGGAGCTCGAGGAGGTCGAGGAGGTGCTGCCGGGGGGGCAGATCCGGCGCAAGTCCGTCGTCGCGTGGAAGTGGCAGAGCGACCCCGAGTGGGCGAAGAAGATCGAGCCCATGCGCGTCGTCGAGGAGCGGCGGCGCACGTCGCTCCTGAGCGGCAAGGGCTCCAAGTACCCGGCGACGAACCCCTTCGACGCGCTCATGTCGAAGAAGGAGAAGGAGGCGCGCGACGCCGCGAAGCTCATCGACTCGCTCGCGCCCAAGGTCGGCAAGGGCGTGCACCTCGACGGCTACGAGGCCGGCGGCGAGGCCATCGAGGCCATCGAGAAGAAGGCCTCCGCCGCCGAGGAGGCGAAGAAGGTCGCGGCCGACGGCGCCAAGTCGCCGGGCAAGCCCGAGAAGAAGGCCGCGAAGAAGGACGACGCGAAGCGCAAGACCGTCGTCGACAAGAAGGGCAAGAAGGACTCCAAGTCCAAAAAGGCCATGAAGGAGTCCAAGACGAAGCTCGACGCCGCCGCGGCCTTCGGCAAGGCGTCCAAGGCGCCCGCGCCCGCGCCCGCGCCCGCGCCCGCGCCCGCGGCGCCCGCCGCGGCCGACGGCGCCGCGGGCGGCGCCGCGGACGCCGACGCCGACGCCGACGCCGACGCCGAGGGCCGGGACCGCGCGTCGACGGGCGACGGCGAGCCCGGCGACGAGGGCCGCGCGTCGCCCGTGCCGGGCGACGACGCGTCGGGGCCGGGCTCCGTCGCCGAGGGCTCGTTCCGGCCCATGGACGACGCGGCGTCGCTGGCGTCGGCCAAGTCCGCCGCGGAGCGGAGCGCGTCGGGCGTCGTCGTCGACGACGCCGACGACGCCGCGGCCCTCGTCGACGACGACGCGGCGTCGCTCGCGGCCGCGTCCGCGGGCGGCGACGGCGACGGCGACGCGGCGCTCGCGGCCGAGGACGCGCGCAGCGGCCGGGGCAGCCGCGGCAGCGACGGTCTCGGCGGCGGCGACCTCGGCGACGCCGACGCGCGGTCCCTCGGCGAGGCGTCCGCGGGCGGCGCGGCGGCGGCCGGCGGCGACGACGCGTCCGCTCCGGGGTCCGCGAGCCGCGCGAGCCGCGGGGGCTCGCTGGGGTCCCTGGGCGGCGCCGGCGACGGCGCCGAGTTGGACGACGGCGGCGACGCGTCCCCGGGCGGCGCCGGCGACCCCGCGTCGCCCCTCGGCGGCGGCGAGCCGGACGGCGCGGCCGCGGCGGCCGCGGGCCAGCCCGTCTTCGACGACGCCTCCGAGGCGTCGGCGGGCGGCGGGCCCGGCAGCGCCGCGGCCAAGAGCCGGGGCAGTTTAGGGAGCCTCGAGGGCGGCGACGACGGCGGCGACGACGCGGAGCGCGACGCCGCGGCCGCGGCGGAGCGGAGCCGCGCGGCGAGCCTCGAGGAGTCCGTCGGCGGCGACTCCGTCGGCGGCGGCTCCATCAAGTCCGCCGGCGGCGACGGCGACGCCGAGGCCCAGTGGGCGCCGGGGTCGCCGGAGGCGCGCGCGCGGGGCGCGAGCGACGAGTCGAGCGCCGGCGGCGGCGCCCTGGACGCCACGAGCCCGCTCACGGGCGACGGCGGCGACTTCGCGAGCCGCGCCGAGTCGACGCAGGAGACCGACTCCCAGCTTTTGACGAAGTTCGCGCGGACGAAGGAGCCCCAGCGCCTGTTCTTCACCTACGACGCGCGGCGCGAGTCCGCGGTCGAGCGGGGCCTCTTCCCGCCGTCGGACTTCACGCGCGTCGGCGCGGGCCTCACCTGGTCCTCGCCCGCCGGCGGCGCCCTGGGCCCCTACGGCGACCCGGCCGGCGCGCGCGGCGCGCCCGTGCCGCAGCCGCTGTCCGCGGCGCGGCAGACGACGCCCGTGAGCCGCTACCGCTTCCCGCCGTCCGAGGGCGTGCCCGTGCACGGCGACGCGAACGGCCAGGCCGCGGCGTCGAGCCCGCACCGCCGGCCCGAGAAGCCCGAGCGCCGCGGGGACCCCGCGCTCGCGTTCGACGACTTCTCGGGCTTCGAGGGCCTGCCCGCGGACGCGCTCGGGCCCGACGAGGCCGCGCCGCCGCCGCCCCAGCAGCAGCGGCCCTGCACGTCCTGGACCTTCGGGGCCGTGCCCTGGTTCAGCAAGGTGCTCGAGGAGCAGTGCCGCATGCTCGCGCGCGGCGAGCTCGAGGTCGGCGGGCCCCGCGCGCGGCGCCTCGCGCGCAACGCGCAGCTCGCGCGCGTCCAGGGCAAGGGGCCGTCCCTCGAGGCCGCGGCGGCGGCGGCGAAGCGGCGCGGCGGCGCGCCGGGCGCGCGGCCCGGCACGTCGGAGCCGCTGGGGCTCCGCCGCGCGGAGCTCCGCAAGTTCCGCAAGGGCTCCGTGCTCGACCAGGGCCGCCGCGGCGGACCCGCCGTCGGCGCGGCGACGGGCCGGTCGTCCATGTTCTCCAAGTCGACGTCGAGCCTGGGGCTCGGGCGCTTCGCGTCCGTCGAGTCCGCGGCGACGCCGTCCTACGTCGCCGGCGGCGACGAGCAGCAGATCTGGAAGCGCATCAGCTCGGGCAAGCTCAGCGGGCCGGGCTACCGCAACGAGGCCTGGGCGCCCCTCGAGACCAAGGCGCCGACGCGCTACGCGCGCACGCAGCCCGCGGAGCAGTGGTCGGGGTCCGTGCCCCGGCTCCCGCCGGCGACGAAGGGCGCCAAGTCGCGCTGAGCCTAACCATCTATCTGGTCTGCGGCAAGATGCGTGTTAGCCCTCGAGCTCGTCCTCGGGCTCCTCCGCCTCCGCGTCGCCGTCGCCGTCGTCGTCGGCGAAGGCGAGCTCCGCGGAGAGGATCGGGTAGCGCGCGTCGCTGCAGTTGAAGACGACGCGCGCGACGGCGGCGTTCCTCAGCTTCTTCGCGCTGAGGTGGCGGAGCGTGCCGTCGCGCCTCTTCGCCGCGGGCGACGCGAAGTTGTCGAAGACCGTGCGGAAGAAGAGCGAGTGGCCGACGACGATGATGACGTCGTCGGGCGAGCCCGCGAGGCGGTCGACGAAGGACTGGAGCCGGTCCGACACGCGCCGCCGGCCCTCGGGCCCCCACCACGCGCCCTCGGCCTCGGAGACGTCGACCTTGACCGTGCCTTTCAGCAGGGGGCTCAGGGACGAGTTCGGCACGACCTTGCGCGCGCGGCGGACGACGCGCTTGAGGATCTCGCGGCCCGTCGTGCCCCGCAGGCTGTCGAAGCCGCCGACGGGGTAGCAGAGCTCGCGGCACGCGGGCACCAACACGATCCCCGCGCCGCTCGGCCGCAGCGCGGGGTGGCCCTGCAGCGCGACGAGCGCCGTCTGCAGCGCGCGCGTCAGGGGGCTGCAGTAGACGGCCGTCGCCGCCTCGAAGCCCCGCCGCTCCGCGCCGAAGCGCGGCGACGCGAGGATGCGCGCGGCGAGGCCCTCGGCCTGCGCGACGCCCTCGGCTGTCAGCGCGTGGTCGAACTTGCCGAACATGCCCACGGGGTCGCGCCGCGCCTGCGCGTCGTTCCACTGCGACTCGCCGTGGCGCAGGAAGTAGACCGTCTTGAGCTCCTCGCCGCAGCGCGCGGCGCCGAACGTCCGGTCCTTCAGGAGCTTGAGCGGCGCGTTCTTCTTGCGCTTGGCCGTTTGCAGGGCCGTCAGCGCGGCGAGCGCGAGGGTGAGCTGGCGCAGGGCCGCGTGCACGAAGCCGATCATGCTCTTTGAATTGGCACGGCGTGCGGCGCGCCGGAACGAGCGTCGAGGGCGGCGCGACTTCGACGTCAATCGACTTCACCACACTGTTCAACCACAGCATCTTGCCGTAGCTTCCGATTGGCAGACCATCTTGGCAGCCCGCGTTCAAGCTCTCGCGCCACTGCCATTGGCAGCCTCTTGCAACGACGATGCTCCCACGCACGCTCGCGCTGCTCCTCGGGTTGCGCGTCGCGTCGGCCTGGAGCCAGCGCGGCGTGCTGCACGGCCCGCACGAGGTCGAGGAGACGCTGGTCACGGTGCCGGGCATGGCGCTCGACGAGTCGCGCGTCGACGTCTGGTGCGGCGTCGATGCTGGCCTGGAAATGCAAAGGACTCGAATCGCTCCGGTAGGTCTGGTACCCCGTCGCGTCCGGCGGCAACCACGCGCCGTTCCGCTTCCTCTGCTTCGCCCACGGCGCGGGCGGCGGCTCGGTCGTGCAGCCGTTCGTCTACTACGAGATCCTGCGCGCCGTCGCGAGCTGGGGCTACGTCGTCGCGGCGCCGCGCGCGTGCCTCGACGGCGTGTGCCCGGACGACGACTACCCGGCGCAGCAGACGCGCGTCGTGGACTGGGTCTTGGCACACCGCGAGGCGGCGCCGTTCGACGGGGTCGACTTTTCCAAGGGGGTGGGCATCTTCGGCCATTCCATGGGCGGCCGCGCGACGTACGAGAACTCGGCGGCGGCCGTCGCGGCGGCGCACAACATCTCCGCGGCGGCGCTGCTCCACGCCTTCGTGCCCGTCGCCGAGGCGGAGCCGGCGATCCCGTTCCTCGCGTTCACGGGCATGAACGACACGACGGCGGACTACCGCATGACGGAGCGGCTCTACGCGCGGGCCAAGGCGGGCACGCCGCGGGGGCTCGTCAATAGGATCGACGCGGGCCACCAGGAGCCGTCGAACTGGGAGGGCTGGCTCGAGTACGACGGCTACAACCCCAAAATGGCCCAGTTCGTCGTCGGCTGGATGAAGCTGTTCCTCGACGGCGTATCGACGGACCGCGGCGTCGACTGGGACGAGCTCATCTTCGGCGACAGCGACGTGGCCCTCTGCCACGGCGGCGACGGCGCCATGGCGCGCTGCGAGACGCACCGGTCGTGAGAGGTTAACGGTGCCTCAAAAGTGAAGGGGCACGTGCTCATGGTCCTGAGTTTTGTGATGGGCTGCCCCCTACCCTAAATTCAGTGAAGGAGCGATCCGACTGCCTACGCTGAAGTGAGCGAGATGGGCTGCCCCGACTCCTGCGCCTCCGCGCGCGGCGTCGTCGTCGACCTCGTGAAGCTCGCGCCGACGACGGGATGGCTCGTCATGTGCTGCTTCGCGATTCCGAGCTACGCGGCCATCGGCTGGGTCGCGCCCGTCGTCTGCGCCGTGTTCTCGTCGCTCCTCGCCGTCCTCGCGACGCGCGACATCTTCATGCACCTGTCGCCGAGCATCCACGCGTACGTCCTCGTCGGGAAGCTCGCGGAGCGGGAGGACGCGCTCACCGTGGCGCGCGCGAAGCGCAAGGGCGCGGTCGCGGTCGCGTTCTTCTGCGCGTCGGCCGCGTGCATGGTCGTCTTCCTCGTCGTGGCCTACGCCGTCATCGAGCCGGAGAAGTCGAAGCAGCCCTGCGACGGCGAGTGCGAGGGCTGCGAGGAGGACCGCAACTGCAAGCGGTGGGTCGCGGACGTCGAGGACGACCACCCGGTCGTCGCGATCTGCCCGCCGACGAAGGGCTCGGCGGACACGGACGCGACCTTCTCCTGCCTCGCGGACGGCTACTGGATGATGGTGACGAGCGTGATGGGCCTGATCTGGGTCGGCGCGTCCTACTACGTCGTCCGGCGCGCGCGCGCGCGCGCCGCGGACGCGGGCCCGGGCGCGACGGAGCTCGTCTAACGCGGACGGACGGGGCGGTTTAGCACAAAAGAAGTCAGGCCGCGGCGGCCTGGAGCAGGGGCTCGCTCTCCTTGAGGAGCTGCTTCGTCGACCGCGGCGACGGCGGCGCGGGCTTGGAGACGCCCGCGGCGTCGAGGAGCGCGTCGACGACGGCCGCGCGGCGCGCCGCGGCGTCGAGCTGCTTCTGCTTCGCCGCCGGGAGCATCTCGTTGAGCCGGGCCACGGAGATGCCGCTCGTGTCGCGGCGCGCGCGCTGCTCGAGATCCTTGAGCTGCTTGTTGAGCCGCTGGTCCACCGTCGACGCGCGGCTCTGCTTCGAGCCCGCGAGGCGCTCGAGCGTCGACGCGTCGGCGCTCTTCTCCGCGGCGCTGAGGGAGAAGCGCAGCAGCGACTCGCGCTCCTTGGCCGCCTCGACGCGGAGCCGGAGGCCGTCCATCTCGATCTTGCACTCGCTCAGCGACGCGATCTTGATGAGGTCGTGGAGGTGGCTGAAGCCGCGCACGGCCTTGAGCTCGTCCTCGACGGCGCCGCCGACCGCGGCCGCCGCGACGCGCACCGCGTCGAGCGCGGCCTCGAGGCGCGCCGCGGCGGCCGGCGGCGCGGCCGGCGGCGGCGCCGCGGGCGCGGGCGCCTCCGTCTGCGTCGCCGCGGGGATGGTCACGGGCCGCGTGACGAGCTCGGCCCGCAGGCCCGCGCAGATGCCGCGCTCCGCGCGGAGCGCCGCCTCGGCGTCGTCGAGCTGGCGCGACAGCGAGTCGAGCGTCGAGAGCCGGAGCTCCAGGCCCTCGACGGCCCGCTCCGCGGCCTCGCGCGTGGCCCGGTCGCGCCTGCCGGCCTCGGCGCAGGCGCCGAAGGCCGTCGCCGCCGCCGTGCGCGGCGTCCGCGGCCGCGCGCGCGCGCTCCGCCGCGCCGCGCTCGGACGCCGCGGCGGCCTCCGCGGCCGCGGCGGCCCGGTTCGCGTCGGCGGCGGCGCGCCGCAGGGCCGCGAGCTCGGCCGCGGCGTCGTCGCCGCCGCCGCGGGGCAGGCCGTCGAGGGACCGCGCCGCCGCGGCGATGCGCGCGGCGAGCGCGTCGAGCTTCTCCCCGGCCGCGCGGTCCGCCGCGTCGCGGCGCTCGCCGAGGCGCGCGACGAGCTCGGCGACGTAGGCGACGTGGTCGCGCTCGGCCGCGGCGCGGCGCGCGTCGTCGGCGGCGCGCGCGTCCGCGGCGGCCGCGGCGCGCGCGTCGCTCGCCGCGGCCGCGTCCTCGGCCGCGGCCGCGCGCGCGTCCGCGGCCGCGGCGGCCTCGCGGGCGGCCTCGAGCTCCGCGCGGAGCTGGGCGACGGCGCTCGCGTTCTGGAGCTCGCGGATCTGCCGCTGGTACTTGTCCTCGCGGCGCTCGAAGTCCTTCTGCGCCGCCTCGGCGACGGAGTTCTTCCGCGTGAGCTCGGCCTTGAGCTGGGCGATCTCGCGCCGGTAGCCGTCGACGCTCACGTAGCCGCGCTGGGACACGACGTTGAGCGAGATGGGGCCCGAGTCCGGGGCGCTGGCCCGCCGACTGCTCATATCGGGGGGGGTTTGCTTGGGCGCTCGACCCGACTGCTCATCGGGGCTGCCCAACGACCCAGGTCGACCTTAACCTCAAGGATCTTGGCAAATCTCTCAAGTCGAGCTTGCTTGCGAAGCGCTGGAGGTAACTGCGCTCGCGCGGGGCTGCTGTCCCGTCCGGAGGCCCGGGCCGCCGCGGCCGACGGCGCGCGGAGTGCGGCCATGGCGTTCATCACGCAGCGCGCGAGCAAGAAGCATGAGAACATGGCGAAGATCGCCGAGGAGACGCAGGCCCTCGAGGCCCTCGTCTCCGGCGTGAACCAGATCTCGCAGTCGACGCTGCTCCTGAAGAAGAAGAAGGAGATGCACGAGGTCGACGACGCCCTCGACTTCATGAAGGAGGAGTACAAGCTGCGCATCGAGGCCTGCGAGCAGCGGCAGCGCAAGTTCGAGCGGCGGCAGGCGGACATGAAGGAGCAGGTCACGAAATTCGAGAAGTTCATCCAGGAGAACGACTCGAAGCGCCAGCGCGCGGACATGAAGGCGAAAGGCGAGCACCGGGTCCTGGACCAGAAGGAGCTCGAGCAGCGCAAGCAGACGCTCGAGCTCGAGGCGCTCGAGCTCGAGCGGACGCGGCAGATCGAGCAGCTCGAGAAGCTACGGAAGTACAAGGAGTACCTCGAGCGCACGGTGGAGAGCGCCGAGGACGAGACGGCGGAGGAGATCTGGGACCTGCTGAACCGCCACACGACGCTGCGCAACGCGAACGTGGACCTCATGGAGCAGGTGCAGCGCGGCGACGTGCTCATGGACGAGCTCCGGTCGAAGATGGAGGCGCTGAAGCTGAAGACCCAGTCGGCGACGCTCGTGCAAAATTCCCAGATCCACGCGAAGCAGAAGCACCTCGAGGCGCTCCGCGCGCGGACGAAGAAGCAGGACGACCAGAAGCTCACGCAGGAGGAGCGCGTCAAGGACGTGACGCGGGAGACCGCGCAGATCGTCCTCGCGGTGCGCAACCTGTACAACCGGTGCCTCGCGACGATGCACACGCGCGTCGTGCCCATCAACTTCAGCGACGAGCCCAACACGCCCGCGGCGGAGCGGCTCCACCACCTCGGCCTCTGCCTGGACCTCATCCGCGAGCGGCTCAACGACCTCGACGACATCCGGACGTCCTACGAGCGCGACAAGGCCCACGAGGCCGCGCAGCAGCAGCACGCCGGCGGCGGCGCCGCCATCGGCACGGGGCCCCGGTAACTTTGCGACTACTTATCCCTCGGGAAGCGCCTGGCACATGGCCGCGATGGCCGCGAGCCGCTCCGCGGCGACGGCGAGCACCGCGTCCGTCTTGCAGAAGGCGAAGCGCACGAGGGGCCGCTCCGGCGCGTCCGTGAAGAAGGGCGACGCGGGGATGGCGACGACGCCGTGCTCCGCGGCGAGCCACTGGCAGAACGCCCAGTCCGCCGCGACCGCGTCGCCGCCCGGCCGCCGGTAGCGGTCCGGCACGAGGGGCAGCAGGCTCGACACGTCGCCGACGACGAAGTAGCCGCCGCGGCTCGGCAGGGGCGCGATGCAGGCCGCCTCGAGCGCCGCCGCGAGCACCTGGCGCTTCCGCGCGTACTCGACGCGGAGCCACGCGTAGTAGCTCGGCTGGCCCTTGTGCGGCCGGTCCGCCTCGTCGAGGCAGTCCGCTAACGCCGCCTGCATGGGCGTCGGCGCGCAGAACTGGAGGTAGGGCAGCAGCGTCTGGCAGGGCGCGACGAGGCGCGCGGGGCCGACGATCCAGCCGATCTGCCAGCCCGTCGCCGAGAACGTCTTCCCCGCGGAGGACACCGTGAGCGTGACGTCGCGCATGCCCGGCAGCGACGCGAAGTGGACGTGGTCCGCGTTGGCGTCGTGGGTGATGTATTTGTAGACCTCGTCCGCGATGACGAGGAGCGTGTCGTCCTCGTCGCCGACGCGGTCCCGCTCGCGCCGCGCGTTCTCCTCGCGGACGACGCGCGCGATCATCTCGAGCTCGTCGCGGTCGAAGACCTTCCCCGTGGGGTTGTGGGGCGAGTTCACGACGAGGACGCGCGACTTGGGCGTGATGGCCCCGCGGAGCACGGCTTCCGTCAAACGCCACTCGCCGTCGCCGTCGACGGTCATGGGCGCGGGCCGCGCGACGCCCTCCGCGAGCTTGATCTGGCCCAGGTAGAGGTCGAAGAAGGGCTCGGGGATGACGACCTCGTCGCCCGCGGCGAGCGTCGCCAGGAGCGACACGAGCAGCGCCTGCGTCGCGCCCACCGTCACCGCGACCTCCGACAGCGCGTCGACGTCGCGGCCGATGTGGTTGCTGTAGCGCCGCGCGAGCACGTGCACCAAGGGGATGTGACCCGCGGACCGCGCGTACTGGTGGCCCGCCGGCGACTCGTCGCTCGCCGCGCGCCGCGCGGCCGTCTTCACGAACTGCGGCGGCGCCCAGTCGGGGAAGCCCTGGCCCAGGTTCGCGACGCCGCCGTCGAAGGCGCCGGAGGCGTCGACGCGCCGCGCGAGGTCGCCGAACTCGCTCCAGACCGTCGGCGCCGTGCCCCCGCCGGGGAGGCGCCGGAGCGCCGACGACCGCAGGGCCAACGCTGGGGGGGGCGCGATGTCCGTCTCCGCGACGAGCGGCTCCATCGTGGCCGCGTTCAGTTTCGTGAGCGGGGTCTTGGGCGTCGGCGCGAGCGCCGCGCCGAGGTGGCATGCGAGCGCGGCCAGCACTGCCACGCGCAGTGCCATGGTTGAGAAGGTGGTGATCGTCGTGGGGAGCTCGGACCGACTCAGCGTCGAGGTGCGGAGTCTGTGGATGCTCAAGTGTCGCGATGCTGCCGCGATATTGAAGAAGCGCCCGTCGCCGGCGGTGTGCGCCGGCTTCGCGATGCGCCACATGCTCCGCGCCGTCGCGCTCCTGGCGCTGACGCCGACGAGCCGGTGCTTCTACGCGCCCGGCCTGCGCAGCCGCAGATCCGTGAGCCTCGAGAAGAAGAGCCGGGGCTCCGGCGAGATCGTCACGGACGACGAGGGCGAGCCCGACGACGCGATGATGGCGGAGCTGCGGGAGCGCATGCTCGCCCAGGAGCTCGAGGCGAAGCGCGACGAGACCAAGGCCGGCGGGTCGAACCGGCTCGCGGCGCAGTACGTGCAGCTGCTCACGCGGAGCCACCCGTCGGAACTCGTCCGCGACTTTTACGCGGGCGCGTCGCCGGCCGCGCAGGGCGCGATGCAGGACGCCATCGTGGGCCTCCTGGGCGCCGGCGCCGTCGACGCCGAGTTCACGACGGACGGGCGGCGCGTCGCGGAGCTCTGCTTCCGCCTGCAGATGACGGGCTACATGCTCCGCAACGCCGAGTACGTCTTGGCGGTGCAGAACGTGCTCCGGCTCAACCCTTCCGGCCGCACGCCCCGCGCGCTGCGGGACGCCTTCCGCCGCATCGACGCCGACGGCTCGGGCTACATCGACGTCGGCGAGGTCGACGCGCTCTTCCGCGAGGTCTACGGCCTCGACGATCTGCCCGAGGACACGACCAAGGCCGAGCGCAACGCGATGAAGAGCAACAAGGACGCGGACGTCGCCTCCTTCCTGAGCTTCTTCGACGCGAACAAGGACGGCAAGATCTCCTTCGCCGAGTTCACGGCCGCGCTCGGCGGCGCGGACGCGACCAAGGCGCAGATCGCGCTCGAGGAGTTCGGCGGGACCGCCCAGCTCCAGCTCGGGCCCGCGGACGACGCGCCGCCGGAGCTCCCGCCGAACGTCTCCGGCGACATTACGGTGGGCGACCGCGTCGTCGACGCCGCGGTCTACGTCGCGGAGCTCAAGGCCGAGGCCGCGGCGCTCAAGGCCGCGTTGGCGCGGACGACGGCCGCGGGCCCGACGAACGCGATGACGTCCATCGGCACCTACATCGCGTCCCTCGACGAGTCCCAGCGCGAGCTCCTCACGTCGACGATGACGCCCGACGCCCGCGACGCCGCCCAGGAGCTCGTCAAGTACGTGCTCTCGGGCACCGGCGGCGACCCGGACGCCGACACGGGCGCGGGCCCGACGCTCGCGCCGGACCAGCAGGTCACGCTCGAGCGGCGCGTCCTCGACCAGATCTGCCGCTGGCAGATCGTCGTCGGCTACCGCCTCCGCGAGCTCGAGGCCAGCGGCGAGGCGGCCAAGCGCCTCGGCGCGTGACGCGCGTCGTCCGCGTCCGCTTCCTTTTCTTCCGACGGGGGGTGGCCGTTGATGATGATCCCAAAAAAAAGTTTGAGAACCGACCGGCGGCGGCGTGAGAACCGACGCTCGCGTGACGAAACTTGCCAAGGACGTTCCAACTGAGGCTTCCGTTCGCTTCCGCGGCTTTCGACGCGCGCCCGGGTTCGCGGCCGACCGCGCGCCCCCCCCCGCAGGTCGCGCGCCGGCGATTCGCGCGCGTGTAACTGTTGCATTGTCGTTGCGTGTTTGTGGACTTAACTGTGGCGTTGCACCGGCGGGGAGGTCAACGGAGTCCTGACGTCGCACGACTTTGCCTCTAGACTTTGCCCTGCGCCGCGGGCCAAGACCCGTCCGTCTGCGCCGAGCTAAAATTGACACAAGCCAACGCGGCGCGCCAAAGTTTGCAACCTCAGTGCACGGCGTCGAACATCTCGGCGGGGCTCCGCGCTTAATTGCGCGCCGCCCGTCGTCGTGGTCCCCTCGGGGCGGCGCGCGTGCACAGAAGTGCGACTCCTAGACAGCAGCAACGATGCGCGCCGCCCTGATCGCGACGGCCGCGGCGCTCCGGTCGTCGCTGGCCTGCGCCTTCGTCGCGCCGCACACGCCGACAAAGCTGGCGGCCCTGCGCAGCGGCGAGGACGACGAGGAGCCCGCGGAGCTGACGGAGGACTTCCGCGACTTCCGGGCGCGGCTCATCGCGCGGACGCAGGGCGAGGGCCTCGAGGTCGGGTCCGACCGCGAGGCCGCGGGCGCCGGGTGGGCGTACGAGACGCCGCTCCTCGAGCAGGGCTGCGTGCTCCTGGGCGGCGTGGAGCAGGAGTTCGGCTTCGGCCTGCGGCAGCAGTACTTCCACAAGTGCGTGCTCCTCCTGACGCAGTACGACGACGCGTTCACGCGCGGCGTCATCGTGAACCGGCCGAGCCCAGGGCAGGACAAGGGTGATTCAACGTCGCTTCAACGTGAGTGTTCCGCGCGCGCGCGTTCCAGAAAAAGCGTCCACGCTTCGAGACCGTTCCGAGAGATGATCGCTCGTCCAAAAATCAGCCGAAACGAGTGGAAACCGGCCGAGAGAGGAGCCTTTGAAGTTGGGAATTTCGCACCCTTTTGCTGCCCAGGCCGAGCCGCCGCGAGGTCGACGGCTGGAGTTTGTGGTGCGGCGGCGACGTGGAGGAGGGGGGCCTCTTCGCCGCGCACAAGCTGGGCAAACCCGGCGCGGGCCGGCCGCCGTCCATCGAGTGCCTGAGCACGGAGGAGCTCCCCGGGTCCGAGTCCTGCCGCAAGGTCGGCAACGGGCTGTGGACGTCGTCGTTCGGCGACGCCAAGGCCGCGGTGGCGTCCGGCGTCGCGGAGAAGGACGACTTCGTGTGCATCTGCGGCTACGCGGGGTGGGCGCCGAAGCAGCTCGAGGGCGAGCTCGAGCGCCACTCGTGGTACGTCGCCGCGACGGACAAGAGAGCGAAATTCCCAACTTCAAAGGCTCCGATCTCGGCCATTTTCTACTCGTTTCGGCTGATTTTTGGACGAGCGATCATCTCTCGGAACGGTCTCGAAGCGTGGATGTTTTTCTCGTAACGCGCGCGCGCGGGACACTCACATTGAAGCGACGTTGAATCACTCTTGTGCTGCCCAGGTACGTCGCCGCGACGGACGGCGCGACGTTGGTCCGCGAGCTCCAGGACAAGCAGCGCGGCGCCGACGGCGACATTCCGCTGGACGACGGCCTGGAGTGCTGGCGGAGTTTGATGACGAACATCGGCCGCGAGGCGTCCGTCGCGACGGCGGCCAAGAAGTCCGCGGCGACGAACGACTTCGACGACCTGATGCTCCGGGCCTGGATCGACAACAAGCTCGACGCGCCCGTCATGAACGCCGACTCCTTCCTCGAGGCGTCGCGGCACCAGGCGCGCAGGGAGCAGGCGCTCGGCGCCGTCGCGCGCGACGGCTCCGTGATCCCCGGCGCGCTCCTCGCGTGCCAGAACGTCAAGGGCGCGGACTTCCTGCTCGACAAGCAGTTCCTCCACAAGTCGCTCGTGCAGATCATCGCCGTGCAGCAGGACCTGGTCATCGGCTGCGTGCTGAACCGGCCGACGAAGCGCCGCGTGTCGCTCCGCCTCGACAAGGGCGGCGAGCGGTCGAAGACGGTGGCCTTCGGCGGCGACGTCCAGGTGCGCACGGCGGCGGGCGGCGTCGTCTGGCTCAAGCGCGGGCCCCTGGCGGGCGACAAGGGCGACCGCCTGCCCTTGGGCGGCGACGACGCGTCGAAGGCGACGCACGTCGTCTCGGCCAAGGACGTCGTCGACGCGCTCGCGAACGACGCCGTCGACCCGGACGACGTCCTCGCGGCGTCGGGCGTCGTCGCCTTCGCCAAGGTCGACCTCGAGCGCATGCTCGGCAACGGCCACGCGCTGCCCGTGCCCCTGCCGCTCGCGCCGCTCGACGCCGCGTGGGCGCTCCACAGCGACAAGGGCGCGCCCCTCCTCTCGCCCGACGACATCTGGCGCGCGTCCTTCGACGCCGCGACGCGCGCGGCCGCGGACCTCCCGCCGCCGGCGACGCCCGCGGAGCTCGCGGACACGCTCGCGGACGTCGCGCTCGAAAAATTCTGCACCACGTTCCTCTCCTGATCCCGACGACCGGCCCGCGCGCGACATATCATGCACACTAACACCCGCGAGGCCCCTCGTAGTAGCTACATGCCCTCCGCCGCGCCGCACGTGAGGAAAGTCTTGTAGGTGACGACCTTGGGCATCTTCGCGTAGGGCGACTCCGCGGGCTTCGGCCCGGAGTGGGACCGCTTGAAGTTGTCGCTGCCGCGCCAGTTGTTGAAGGCCTGGACGTTCTTCCACGTCGTGTAGGACACGTAGGTGTTGCCGTCGTCGACGTCGCCCTCGCGGCGGAGCAGCGTGAAGTTCACGAAGCCCGGCAGGTCGGCCAGCGACGAGTCGCGGCCGGCCCACATGTCCTCGAACTGCTTCTCGAAGCCCGGCTTGATGCCGAAGCGGTTCGACGCCACGAAGGCCTCGCGCGGGAGGCGCTTCTCCGCGTCGACGGCGCGCGCCGGCGGCGGGACGCCCGTCGCCTCCGCGGGGAGCGCGAGCGAGAAGAGGCCGTCGTAGGTCGCGGGGCGGCCGCCGCCGGCGTCGAAGGCGGCCGCGGCCTCGGCGCTCTCCCAGACCGCGTACGCGTGGTAGTTGGGCTCGTCGTCGCCGAGCGGCGGCCCCATGAAGTCCGCGGCGTACTTGGACATCTGGAAGTACGTCAGGCCCGGCGCGTCCCGCAAAGCGTCGGCCTTGGCCACCCAGGACTGCTCGAAGGCGACCTGCTCGTCGCGCGGCACGAGGAAGCGCGACGTCGTCACGTGGCGGTCGGCGGCGTAGAGGCCGTCGGCGCGGAGCGCCCGGGCCTCGTCGGTGATCGTCGCGGAGCGCAGCGCGGTGGCCGGGCGTGCGGCGCCGCCCGGCACGCGGAAGGCGGTGGCGCAGGACGCGCTGAGTGGTGCTTTCGCGGCACCGCCTGGCACGCGGAACGCCGCAGCGCTGGCGCAGAGGCCGAGCACGATCATGACGGAGCTGGCCATGCTTCTGCGGCGAGGCAAAGGAGTCGACGGAGCAGCCAAGTTGCAGGCTGCTTCGACGCGATGGTGCGACGCGCCTCATGGCTGGCCGGCCTGCTCCTCACCCGCCTCGCCGCCGAGGAGGACGTCGGCGCCTGCCTCGCGTCGCCGCAGCCCTGCGACGACGCCCGCCGCTGCGACGACCGCCACAACGCCTACGCCCACGCCTGCCTCGCGACGCCGATCCCCGCCTGGTCCGTGGCCTTCGATCGCGTCCAGTGCTGCTTCCGATGCTGCATGATCTTCTGGCTCGACGAGTTCGGCCTCCGGCGGAACCACGAGCTCTGGATGCGCGCCAACGCCGAGCTCCACCCGCGCGACAAGTTCACGTTCGAACACGTCAAGCGGTCCGGCCTCGACGAGCTGCCGCCCGAGTCCGTGCTCAACGTCAACTCGCGCGTGGCGACGCTCGCCCACTACTACGTCGAATTCCGCGGCAAGAGCAACCTGCTGGCGCCGGGGTCGCCGCGCTACGCGGCCGCGACGGCCGCGGCCTGTGTGGAAATCAACCACTGGTTTGGGACGTCCCGACCAAACTTTGAAATTCTTTAGCTCGGTCAAATCGAAGTCGATTCGGCTGATTTTTGGACGAATCGATTGCTCTCGTCGGGTTCTCGAAGTACAGCCAAAAAGTCTGGTCCAAACCATTCAATTACGCTCACATTGAAGTCGAGTTGAAGATTTGATTTCCACACAGGCCGCGGCGCACGTGAGAGCCGTCGAGTTCGAGAAGACGGCCGCGGGCCTCCGCGCGTCGCCGCGGCCGGAGATTGCGGCGCGCGCAAACGACCGCAAGCCCGTCCGGGCGGCCGTGCCCCTGGAGACCTTCCGGGCGCCGCGCGTCAACGCGACGCTCCTCTTCACGTCGCCGGGGAACTACCTGCGGGAGCACGTGCAGTGGGCCGCGGCCCACCTGCCGAGCCCCGTCACCGTCGTCGGCGGCGGCGACGGCGGCATCTACCACGATGCTCTCTGCGGCGGGTCGCCGCCGCTCTGCCGCGCGGACGGCTGCCTCGACCGCGCCGTCGTCGCGGCCGCGTTCGTCCAGAACGTCGTCGACGCGAGGGTCAAGCAGCCCTGCCCGTCGAACGTGCGGCCCCTGGCCCAGGGCGTCAAGCACGCGTCCTGGGCGTCCTGGCTGGCGACGACCTACGCGAACGCGAGCACGCGCGACGGCCGGGCCGCGCCGCTCGTCTGCTCGTTCATGGCCGCGCACCCGGGCCGCGTGGAGAAGTTCGACGCGTTGCGGGCCAACGGCTTCGGCGCCTGCACCTGGGACTTCAAGCCCGACGTCGGCGCCTACCTCGCGGCGCTGCGGGGTTCGAAGTTCGCGGCCGCGCCGCGCGGCATCGGCCAGACGTGCATGCGCGAGTGGGAGGCCGTGCTCCTCGGCGCCGTGCCCGTGCTCGAGCGCTTCCCGGCCCACGGCGACCTCTACGGAACCGCGCCCCGCCTCGAGATCGAGTCCTGGGCCGACGTGACGCCCGCGCTCCTCGACGCCGCGTGGGCGGACCTCGCGGCGCGGGACCCGCCGCCGACGGTCGAGCGCGCCTTCTTCCCCTTCTGGCTCCACGAGCTCACGGCGGGCTGGCTCTAAGCGCCCGGGTCGATCCGGCGCGGGGCGCGGGGGGGCGTCGGTCGACGTCGCCGGTGGAGGCCGTGGCCTGGGTCTTGGCCGCGGGCGACTCGGACTCG